AATTCTCTCGAGACGGAATTACGTATTACGATTACGCATTCACTTACGTATACGCTTATTAATTATATCATAATTAATAAGCAATGGAATATTCTAGTAGGAGGTTTTTATACCTATATATAAGCGTGTATTTACCTACCTAAACCTTTCGTTAAGCAAGCAACTTCTTATATAGTAATTTAACTATACTACTCTCTTTATTATAAAAACCTCTTTTATATACGCTTATTTCCCCTATATTCATATATTCTTACTTCTATATGAATATTTACTTTCTATATTCTTTTATAAGAATATTCCGTATTACCTCGTTAAAGCTATACGTACTAGAATAGTTAATATTATTAATTTCGTTATAATCTAATTTATTAATATAGGGAGCGAGATCTTTTTTATTTTCCAAATTTCTTATAGGGGGTAGATATTCTAAGCTACTATTTTAGTTATTATTACTAAGTTCTATACCCCTAGATCTACTTTTATATATAATAAAAAATTAGTTAAACTAATAAAAGCTAGTTTTATTATTTACTACCCTCGACTTTTTATACTATTTATATAATTTAATATACTCTTTTTTAAAATAGTTACTTAATTAATATTTATTTTTTTTATAAATAAAATATTACTTTTTTTATTACCCTACTCGTAAATTAAATCTTTATTTACTTAACGAATTTAGGCCTCTTTATTAATAATTACCGTACTTAGCTTCTTTTTTTTTTCTTATTATATATCTAGTTAACCTAATATTATTAATAAAAGCCGTTATATACTTAGAAATAGGTTTAGTATAATATTTTTATTTTAATATTAAAGCTAAATCTTAGCTTTAAATAAAGCGTCTCGTAGTTTTTAAGTACTTAATATAGGGTTATTTTTATTTTTAATATATGCTAAACTATAGTATAAAAATATCCGATTTTTTATTTATTAATCCCCTTATTTAACTAGGTTTTTACTAATTTATTAATTTAATTAATAAGCTCTTTAAAGATTTTTATTTATAATTTATTTTCTATTATCTTAACTATAAATATAAATAAAATTATTTATAGCTTAAATAGGAACTCTAAATTCTTATTATAAGTCTTAAAATAGCTTTAGATTATATTAATAATATTAAAAAAGTCGTTCTAATTAAAATTACGTACTACTTCGTAATAATAATTAGAGGCTTTATTTATAAATATAATATTAATTATTAAATAGTACTAATATTCTCTAATCCCGACTTTTTTATAATAATTATAAAATATTATTAGGGTTTTTTATAAAACCTCGTACTTCCCCCTAGAGTATAATTTCTTTTTTAAAAAGATCTTTTTAAAATTTATAAATTATTTCGTATTTATTATTATATTTTTAGTATTTATATACGATTTCTACGTTATTATGTATTATTAGTAATTTTAAATCGTTTACTTTTTTTTTTATTAACTAATTAGTACTAAATTTTATATTAATAATAATAACGAGTTATAAATCGAAATAAGTAAAATTATTAATTATCATACGTTTAATACTATATTTTATTTTTATATATTCTTTTATAATAATAAATTATTATTAGTAATTATAAAAAGGAAATCTAAGTTATTTACCTTTTTTTTAAATTTATTAAAATAATTATACGCTTTATTAACTTATACCTAGTTTTATAATACGAATTCCTCTTTTATAATTATTATTATTAAAATCTTATATAGTTTTTATAATTATAATTACGCTAATAATACCCCTCGCTTATAGAAAAATTTATTAATTACTTTTATAATTTCTAAGCTTATATTTATAAACTATTTATTTAGTTAATAATTAAGGTTATTTATAATTTTATAAAATAGGGGTTACTCCTATAGCCCCTTTTTTTTATAAACCTTAATTAAATAGATTAATACTACGTTAATTTATTTATTATTAAGCTAATTTACGATCCTATATATTTACGTCCCTTAATAATTTAAGTTAATATTTACTTATTTATAAAGGATTAGGATTTTATTTAAGATCGGGTTTTTTTTTCTTTTTTTTTATTTTAATTTACTAAGGGTCGTACTCTAGCTTATACTTATATTAGTAATTATTAACGTATTTAATTTTAATAAGAATATATTTAATTTATATACTAATTATAATAAATCCGTACTTTTATTACTTAACGAATTTATTAAGGTTTAGGTAATTCCCGTTTTCTCTTACTATCTTATTATTACTCTCGTTTTTACTATTTTTAATAATTATTATTACTTTTTTAAATCTCTAATTATTATACTTATTAAGATTCTCTTTTTTATTTAATATAAAAAAGTAAGTTTTAGTAATTCTTTTTTTAATAATAATAGTAAACGTTTATATTATTATAAAAAGATATAATAATTAGTTTTAAGATCTTTATTAATTACCGATTTCTATTATTCTATATATTTTTAACTTTTTAAACCTCGTACTCTCTATAATTTTTAAATTATTTCTTTTTTTAACCTCTTTTTTTTAAAATAGTATTTTAAAAAAATAGTTAAAAATAGACGCTAAATAGCTCATAAAGGAGCTAAATAGGCTATTAAAAAATAAATAAATAGTTAAGTATAGTTAATAAAATTAAGCCCTCTTTTTTATAAAATTACGGGTCTAAAAGACTTATTAAAAATACTACTTATTACTCGTATTAAATAGGACTAATTACTTTAAAAATCCTTTTTCTAACTACTTCTTAGTACCCTATTTTATATTTTTTAAATAATCTTTTTTATAACTTAATTATTATTAAATAATTATTACTTATTAATAATTCCTTTTATTACTTAGTTAATTTTTCGAAATTAATAATCTCGTATTAAGAACTAGTATAAAAAGGAAGCTTTTTAGTAACTTTTAAAAAAGAATTTTTTTTTCTTAAATCCTTATTTTTTTAGCCTTTTTTTAAGTTAATAATAATTATAATAAGAAGTTATAGGACTATTTTAGAATAGCTACTTTTTTTTTAAGTTAATTTTTAAAATTTATAATACTCTTAGCTTAATACTATTAGGACCTCTAAATCCCCTCCTTTCTTATTAAACTATCCCTTATATTATATTCTTAAATAATATTTAGAAAATAATTAAAAGAGTTATAAAAAAGTTATTTAAATTACGGGCTTATAATTATATTTATAAGATCTTTATAATAATAAACCTTTTTATATACTATAAATTTTTTAGTTTTATAACTTTTATAAAGTTATTTTTATTACTAAATAAGAATATTTATATTTAAAAATCTTTGTTTTTAATTACGTAGTACTTTTTTATATTATATTATTAAGCTCGTTCGTTATATTAATTAATTAAGCGAGTAGTTATTATATAAGTATTTTTTTTTTAATTTAATTAGTTAATTTCTAATTACGGGCTAGTTATAAAGAAGTTATTTAATAGAAAAGCTATTTAAAATAATAATAAAAAACTAGTTACTTAAGTAGTTTTATTATTTAACTTAGTTTAATATAATAAATATTAACCTTTTATAAATAGTAAAGGGCTATAATTACTTAATTCTATACGGTATTTAAAAATTACCTCTTTTTTTATTTATTTTTATAAAGTTAATTAATATAAATTTCCTATTTTATATAATATTAAGAAGTCGTTTTTTTTACGTAGCAAAATACTTTACCGATTTATAATAATAGAATTTAATTATTAATTAGTATTAGTATTTTTATTATAAAGTAGTTAGTTTAAACTATAAATTAATAAAGAAATTAATTAAATTATATAAATTTCTATATAAGAATAAAAAAGAGGTTCTAATTATAAGTTAGGCTAGTTATAATAATTATAAATAGGGCCCCTAATTAGCCCCTGCGTAGTTAGCTATATACTGCGGTCGAATTAGACTTCTAATCTAATAGATTAAGTTTAGTGATTTATATATTAGCATTCTCTAGCTCCCGATTAAAGATTAGACATTGGATCTAGCCTCAGCATATTTCGATTTGAATCTTAGGCAGAACTATTAGCCTCTCTGGACGCTCAATTGCTAACATCGTGCAGAGATCGTCCGAAGCGGCAGAGTCGGTTACCGGATCAGACGCCAAGATGCCGAATGAAGACGAGGTAAACAGGATGGCCACCACTTTCGCCGAATTTGATCCGATTTCATGCTGTCTCCAGATTTGTGACCCAGTCCTCTGCTTTCCAATGATTCATGGAGGAACAGGTGATTTTGTAACCTTAGGAAGATCCAACCGCAAGTCAATCATTAGATCGGGAGGATGAAGTCGATGAACTATGCGGGGTGCATGTGCAACTGTGTAGCTTTCGGCAATGAAATAATACTAGCTAAGGTAGCCACCGTTCCAGCGTAGTATTCGACAGTGTAGTAAAATGCTTTTTGATTTAGCCGGATGCATGAGATGGGCACTCTGGGCCAAGCGGAGCGGGCTGTCAAGCACGTTGCGCTTCTGTTCAATTATTGGTTCGGGAATCGGCTAAAACATAGTTGTTTGTAAGCTTAAACGGCTCTCATCTACTTAAGCGATGTATTGCAATTGGTCGATCATTCAATCATGAAAGCCTTGCTCCATGATCCATGATCGTTGTCACCAGACCTGCCCTGTCTTGCTCTGCGCGTTCCTGCGACATCTTTCAGTGGTATCAGGGGCTGCATGCCTTTAGGACTCCATGTAGAGGCTGATTGCGGGGAAGAACTTCCCCACACAGAAGCAAATCGATCCTTCCTTGCATCATGATGCTATCTGACAGGCAGATCATTTAGCCGAAGTCTGTGTTACTGCGTTATGTATTTCAATAGTGGGAGCGAAGTTCGGCAAGGCAGAATGGTGAAGCCACTAACTGAAATGCTGGGCAACATGTGGTATGACCTCGTCATTCTCAAACCTACAGTAATTCTCATGGGGTATATAGTCTGACAACTAGACCACGCCCACTTTGTCTGAGCTGTCAATACGCCTCTTCATAGCCTTGAGTATCTTGTAACTTTCCAACTCTATTCAAATGATCCCTCACTTGGGCCGTTTGGTCTTAGGACTTTCTCTCAATTTTTGGGCAGCTCTAGTAGCAGCTGATAACTCAACATTCTACAACCCAATCCTACCCGGCTGGCACTCCGATCCATCATGTGTCCACGTTGATGGCACCTTCTACTGCGTCACCTCAAGTTTCATCACTTTCCCTGGTCTACCAATATATGCCTCCAAAGACCTGCTCAACTGGAAGTTGATAAGTCATGTTTGGAATCGACAAAGTCAAATGCCCAACGTTACTCAACAAACCAAAGGCATGGCAAATGATGCCTTTCAATAGGCCATTGAACTCCTTGAATCTTCACTAACGTTCAACTCAAAGGACAACAAGAAGGCTTCTACGCCGCAACTATTCGGCACCATGATGGCGAGTTCTGGGTTGTGTGCGAGTACCTCGGCCTGCCCTACGGAATGTTGGGAACGGTCTTCAAAACGAACAATCCGTTCGATGGAGCAAGCTGGAGTGACCCTTACACATTCCTAACACCCAACGGAGATCTGGATCTTTTCTGGGACGACGACGGAAAAATGTACATCCCGGGAGGCGGCCACGTTCTCCTCGACGTCGACCTCGAGACGGGGACGGTTGTCAACAACACGTTCCTCTGGGGCGGCACCGGTGGTGTTTGGCCTGAAGGCCCTCACATTTACCGCAAAGATGGCTGGTACTACATCTCTGCTGCCGAGGGTGGGACCGAGACTGGGCACTACCAGGTCATGGCCCGATCTTCCAGTCTGACGGGCCCGTATGAGCCGTGCCCGTACAACCCGGTCTTGACCAATAAGGATACCGATGAATATTTCCAGGTAGGCATGCCATATTTCATGTATCGCAATTTTTGTCTAGCTCTAACTTTGGACAACAGACTATCGGCCACGCAGACCTATTCCAAGACTTTGATGGAAACTGGTGGGGTGTCGCGCTAGCCACCCGTTCCGGGCCAGAATGGAGAATCTATCCCATGGGTCGCGAGACGGTCTTGTATCCAGTCACCTGGCGCGAAGGCGAGTGGCCGATACTGGAACCCGTCAGAGGCAAAATGTCGGGTTGGCAAATGCCCCCGGCATCTAGAGATCTCCCCGGAGACGGCCCGTTCAACTCGGACCCCGACGCGTACGATTTTACGGCACTGGGTGTTATCCCTCGGAATCTCATCCACTGGAGGGTTCCAAATGAGGGCGCCTTTTCGATTGAAAGCTCGAGGGGGCTCCATATTGTGCCTAGTCGCGCGAACCTCACGGGCGATAATGCGGATCTGGACGGCCGTTCGGGGCTATCTTTCATCGGACGACCTCAGACGGACTCTCTCTTTACCTTCGAAGCCGTCATTGATGCACTGACCGCTGATATAGACCAAGAAACCGGTGTTACGTTGTTCCTGACGCAGTTCAATCACGCCGATGTTGGGGTAGTGGTCCTCCCCAAGACAGACGGCTCCGAAGGGAACGACCGCATGCTACGCTTCAGGGCAACGGGAGAAGATGCTCCCGTGGAGAATATCGCCAAGGTGCCTGAAGCGTGGAGAGACGACTCGATTCGCTTCCAGATCGCCACAGTCAACAGCACTTACTACACGATGGCCGCATCCCAGGCTTCTCAACCGGACCAGCAAGTTGTCATGGGTACATTCTCGGCACGATTAGTCAGTGGCCAGAGTGGTCCTTTCACCGGATCGTTGGTCGGCGTCTACGCTACCTGTAACGGCGCTGGCTCAGGAGTCGAGTGCCCCTCCGGAGGTGATAGTTGGGTGAAGGAATGGCATTACGAAGGTAAAGGTCAATACTACACTGCAACCGACCTTATCCCAGAGTAAGATGTGTTGGTAAACCTAAAAAAGGTTGTATGCTTTAAAGCTGTGATTCATGAATCATCTGTTGTCCTCATCTCTTTGTTGGCCTGCTTCCAAATTTCTTTCATCGTGACTTCTCCCTCTGCGCCTCTCCATTTCCTCCCATCTAAGTGCCGGAGACACAATTGTCTTCCTTCATCAGGATAAAACAGCCAACAAGCCCACCGCAACCACATGCCCTGCTCCTTCATCTGCGTCCGCGCCCGATGTCCAATCGTGTCCTCGATAAACGCCCCTCTAGGTATCGCCAGCCGCGTCGGAAAGACACGCGTCAAATAGTGCTCCGTCGCTGCGATGTGGGGCTTATCATGCCAAAAGAACATCGGCGTCAACGGCACCTCCGCCTCCGGATATAATTTTGGCGTAAAACTCCTCTTCAGCTTGTTCGTCAACGTTCTAAGATGAGGGAACTCTTGCGCATGAGCAGTCTCAGCATACTTCAGCATCCGAACCGAAGTAAGACAAACATATTTCACCGGGTTCTCCTCATCTGCGTCCTGCGTCCTCATGACATCCAGTATTGGGCCCACGGGGATGTCGTATACGAGTGTCCAGTCGTGCTGATGGACCCAGACGTACGGTGTTGTCGTTATTCTCAAGGCCGTCCGCACTGCTAGACCGAAACCAAGCCTCTCTGACGGCTCTACGAAGGATACACGAAGGTCTTTCGTCTGGCTTACGGTGAACGTGGCCGAGTTTGTCGTTACGGTCGCCGCTCGTCCGTTGTAGCCATACTCTGCTTCCCCTTGCTCTTGACTCAACTCGTCAGGTCTCTCATGTGCGTCGTATTCCCTCAGCACGAGCTTCTTTACGTTGTCTTTGTACTCTGCATACTCCTCCGCGCCCTTTTCCGTCACCTGGCCCTTCTTCAACCTTGGAACGTCTCCTATGCGCTCATACGTGTCCAGTACAACAATGATGCGGCACGATAGCAAGTCACTGCAGTGAAGGCGCATAGATTTGAAGACCGCATCCAAGAGTTCTGTCGAAGGCGCGGACGGGGTTGGCGACGTGGTTATTATCAGCGTCAGAAGCTCTGAGACTGATGCCGGCGCTGGCGGTGCAGGGGTGGAAGGCATGACGATGCCCACCGAGCGGGTGTATGAGAAGAGGAGTGGAAATGTCCCGTCGAGATCCGATAGGAGACGTCGAGAGGTACGTATCTGGTCGGAGTTGAGACTTTTTTCGGCGAAGTGGGGCACCACGCCGGAGCGTCAAAAAATTGTTAGTCACGGCGGCCGGCAGAAGATTGTGTGGTTTGCCGCGCAACAAGGCAGCTTTCATGCGTTCAAAACATCGAGATACAAAAATAACTCCCGTGGCATGTGCTTAGGACGAGTTTTCGTTGCATTAACCGTGTTCTTGTACTACCGTTTAACACTGTTGAGCGGCGCCTGAGCGTTGAAGGCCACTTCCGGCCCGGACTAGCAAGCCCTGACTCGGCGGGGGCGCCGGACCCGCAACCCGCGCAAAAATTTCAAACCCGGCATTCAAAATGCAGAATTTTCAAAAGATTATGACCAGCCTGGGGGTCGAACCCAGAATCTCCTGATAACATGTTTAGTCGTAGTCAGACGCCTTGCCATTGGGCCAACCGGCCATGGTTGTTTGGATCCATTGCTGGATGCTGATGAGAATGGCCAGATTGGGCTCTATGTAGCCTGCCTGTGAGAGAGAGTATCATGGTCTGAGTCTTCCGCATCACAACCACGCATCGACCGCCCTACATCTAATTCACCTTCGAACAACCTCCTGAAGGCCGACACAAAGTTTGATTGATAAATCAAATCAAAGACTCTTTCAATCCTGTTACCACTGGGTATCTCAATCAGCCAATCCCAAGAAACTCCAATTCGCATAATCATTCCAGGAAAACTGAAGCAGACCTCTACTCACACGTCGTCACACCCAATGACACCCTCCAAAGACCTCATACTTAACCCTGAACCTCAGACCTTCTTCTTCCAAGCACTCAAAAAGAAGAACCCCCCACAAATCTCCGACGTCTGCGCGCCAGTGCAGTGCATATCGCAATTCCACGCCGGCGCAGCTGTCGTCGGCGGCGTCCGCGAACAGTAACACTGGTCCCCAAACTCGGTGCCAAAGTACTCGTAACCAGAACACACCCCCGCGCAGAGCCGGTTCGTCTGGTCGTCAATCTGCGTGAACTTGTCCGGGAACACGCGGTTCGAGGTGTCCTCATAGCAGCCAATGTATTCCCAGTCCACTACCTGCACCCATGTCGTCGTCGTTGCGGGTGCTGCTGTTGTTGAGGTGCCGTTGGTGTCCGAGTCGGTTGTTCTGTGACGGTTGTTAGTATCAAAGCCCCAGCCAGTGTTGATCGAGGTGTTTTGAGGGGAATACTTACTTTGTTGCTGCCACGTTCTTGAGATCTAAGATTTCTGAGCTCTGTCTTGCGAGCATGCTCCCAAATACCCCCGCGACGATAGCCAGCAGCGCAAGAAGGAACCCCAGTATACACCAGAGCATGAACATCGCCAAGCTCATGCCACATATCCTCCTCTTCGATGCCGCATGTTCTTGAGGATGGCTAGACATGCCGTTGCCGGGTACTTGGTTGTACTGGTGATAATACGGCGCGCCTACGATCTTGTCTGGCTCCGGCACCGGATGAAGACCATTTTCAACGTACGAGTCGTCAATGACTTGTGACTGGCTGTAATGCGTTTTCGTATTCTGTGCCGTACTCGCATCAGATCCTGTTGGGCCGACGTTATAACCTCCCGTCTGCTGCCCGTAGGAATGGTCCATCTCGTGTTCTTCGTCTCGGCAACTTCCACCGGACCGTCGGATGCGGTTGATATCGAGCAACGCCTTTTGCTCGGGTGACTGCATTCAATCGTCTAATTATCAGAGTCCGATGGGGAGAAGAGTATCGCTATGAGGTGATGTCGATGAGGCTCATGAGAAACAGAAAGGGAAACAACTCCAGACCCATGAAATAGCTTTCTCAAGCAAAACAGATCTGCACAGCTTTCTTAAGAAGCAGCTTGGCAGTCACCAGAGCTAGTGCTAGGCAGCCGAATTACAGAGCTGGGGGCCAACCGCTCACGTAGGATTCCATCCCTTGCCGGAACCGCGTGCCACTGCCACGATGCTACCAATCGCGGCATGTCGAGAATCGCGTAAATTTTTGGACTCCCGTGCCGTCAGCACCAAGAGCTCTGCCGGCTTACAATACCCCCGGGCCTCGAGGACAACTAGAGAGCTGAAAGCCACAGCATCCGCCACTGGAGCTCTCGCAGAGGTAAAGGGTTCCCGGCAGGACTGCGGAAAGACTCCGCGCATGTTAGTTGCGACTTTGCCTCGCTCAATGTTGATCCTCTCCCGAAATCAGCCTTACGAGAGATGACAATACGCTTGGCATTGGAGGCTTGGAACGACGTACTAATCCCTTTTAATGTCTGCTCATTTCCCAGCTACGCCAACTTCTCAAGAGACTGTCAGCTCGCGGGTGATTTTGTTGTTTAAACTCGTCTGCCTAGAGTGGATTAAGCATATTTACTAGCGTTCGCCACCTGGACCTCAATCGCTTTGACGTGCTCGAAGCTGCCGGGAAGGAAAATACCATCTTGGAGAGTTCTTTCATCCACATAAGGTAACTTTCTTTTTACACTATTGTTCAGCACCTTGCTGTATTTGATCGAGAGCTCTCCGTCTTGCGTTCTTTACTTGGAACCAACCTGGCATCCAACGTAGTGGCAGCAACAACGCCGTCTCGGCTCAGGTGGGAGGAGGGTACTCGACTTACTTTTGTCTACGTATGTGCACAGAGCGACATCCACACCAGATCCTTCTAACGTATAGCAATTGACGAGAGTAGCATCTATGCCTCTTAACGTCTACTACGATTTCATTCGTCTCTGAATTCTAAATTACCTTTCAAGGTTCTGTCTTCCGGGTGAAACATCAGCCACCATGATCATCACCATCGCCGGCTCAAGCCATGCATCTACAGAAAGGTTGAGAATAACAGGGCTCTCAAGTCTGACATGCATGCCCCATCAGCACTAGCCCCGCCACCAATTTACCACTCCCGAAGCCAACTTCTCCGCCTCGACCTTGTTTCTAAATTAACCCGTCATCATACCTATCAGTTCCTCTGATGTCATGTATTGAAAAGCTCCTAAGTCACCGCCAAGAGCAATAAATCACATACCCTCGTACAAAACCATCATTCCAAGCGGCAGGGAGGGGGAGAGGCCCGGGCCGCACCAACAAAACAATGGCCTTCTTCCTCCGCCACCTAACAGACCCAACCTCCATCGCACAAGAACCATCCCTGAGCAAAGTCGTCCAACACGTCCGGGAAACAGCCGTGTGTCTCGCCGTCCTCGGCCAAGTGGACCACGGCACCGGTCTGCTGACGATCCTCCACGCGCACGGCATCCCGCCGTTTGACCTCCGGGAATTCGGGCCCGAGGTGTTTTCGGAGGACTTTTCCCGGTGCCGGAGCCTCGGCAAGGGATGCGACGACAACGGCGATGGATCCGGCACGTACGAGGTCCCCGTGAACCCTCCGCGCGCAGACCCATTTACGCGCATCGTCTTTGCGTTTGCGTGGGAACATGTCGGGCGGTGGCCGCGGTGGGCTACGCCCGTCCCGAAGCCGTTTTCTTCTTCTTCTTCTTCTTCTTCTTCTTCTTCCTCGAACGATGGACAGCAGTATCATTCATCTTCAGACAACGGCTGTGATACGGCGCTCGACGCCCTGGAGCGCTACGCTCGCACTCTAGTCTGCAACCGCTTCGCCCCGCCCTGGCGCGAAGACGAAGAAACCTACGAACTCGCCCGCGAGCTGGCGCTGGGGCAGGACAACAGGGCGAACCCGCACGGCCCGATCCCGATGCGCCTGGCCGGGTTCTGGGGTCTCTGGGAGCGCATGCTGGCGCCGTGGCAGATGAACCAGGTTGTCAAGGCTACGGGGCGGGTGTTGGCGCTTGATCTCTCTGTGAGGTTGTTTCGTGATGCGGTGGATGGTGGGGAGGCGACCAATGATGGTGGTGGTAGCAGGGTGGAAGAGAATGTGTATCGACCTGAGGAAGAGGTCCACGTCGACGAGTTCCTTGCAGACGAGGCCGAAGAGGATGAAGAAAGGGTTAATGACAGCTGTGGAAGCAGCACCCATGCAAGCGAAGAAGAAGAAAGCGTCATCGAGCTATGGGGAAGAACGATAGCGACCCTCCATTCCGCACAGGACCAGATGTCTATGCTAGGCAGTATGCGCGAACTATGGCGTTACGGCTGGTTCACGGATCCCTCCAAGAACGCCCTCGTCAAGCACATAGAGATCGACCTCACCCATGTCCGCGAAGTCGCAGACGCCGGGTGCGAGATGCTCCGACAGCGACTGGAGCGCAGCCCGGTGCGACCGTATGAGGGGTACACCATTGCCGAGCTCGCGCGCGCAATCGACGAAAACACTAGATCATGTGCGCCGTATGCCCCCGACGAACTGCGCGGGCGGGATGATATGCTCGTCGAGAGGACGGTTATGGGGCCGATGGAGCTTGATAAGGACAAGATCTTCCGTCCTGAGACGTTGTTTCGCTACCCAGTCCCCTCTCACCAGGAAATCCAGGATCTGGAGAGGAGGCTGGAGCTGAGTGCCCCGTTGCCGGATCAGTACAAGGCATTTTTCCGCGTCACAGACGGGATGGGGCCGGTGTGGTGGAATACATCGCAGCACCTCCGCATCCTAGCCCCGCTATCCAAAGTCACCGCCCAAGACGACGAGCTTCCGGCCAGCATGCAGCTGGAGCTGCTGCCGTCCCGGGGACTCGCTGACGGTAGCTGCATCGCGTGGCCCCTCCTCCGGCGGGTAATCTGCATCAGCGAGAGCGGGCACGAAGGGGACCTCTGGCTCGTGGAGCCGAAATACGTATCCGAGGCCAAGGACGCCTTCTTCGAGGTCTACGACCACGCCTCGGCCCAGGATCGACGGTTGCTTCGTAGGGAGGTGGAAGAAGTCTACGGCAGCATTGACGGGTTTCGTGGGTTGGAGTGGGGTCTGTTGATGTGGACGTCGTGGTTTACGGAGATGGTTCCCTACCGGGACCTGGGCGCGTTAATGGATGAGTTGGCGAGGGGGAGTCGGCGGAAGGCGGAAGAGTGGACGCTGCAGTTTGATCCGAGCACGAGGAAGCTGGATGCGCGGTTGTATAAGACGGCGAGCGCGTTGGATACGGGCAAGGAGGTGGAGAATGTGAAGGACGGAAAGGGGAATCTGGTGCTTTCTGCGCCAGGGACGATGTCGATGGGGCCGTTGGTGTATCCGGAGAATGCAATGACCACTCCCGTGGTCGATCTCTGAAGCTAGATATTCGTGATCAGGCATTGCAGACTATTGATATCGAACTTGATGTTTCAAATGACACATCGCTTGGCTCGTCTGAAGCTGCATATGACAGTGTAGCACTTGGTTTCTTCGCAATCAAGATGTTCGACAGATATATATTGAAAGAGTCAACTGAAGACTAGTCACTGCCAGGACAAATCATGCCGGTCATTCCTTTTCTCGGCCTACAGCCAACGACCTCATAGACAGCGAGCCGGCTGGAGTTGCCAGGATGGGTAGCGCATTGATTCGACAAGCGGGTTAATCTCAGAATTCAAATTCCGAGTTTCCATAACACCATCACTCGCTGCCGTCAAGTATTTCGTCCCCCTATCCCTCGATGATTCCCAACGGAATACACATCAAACGTCAGACTTCCCCGCCTGGTACTAACCACATCCTGAACTACAGCACTGAATTCTAGAAACAGGCATTGGAATCATCTCATATACACCAAAGTCACCTAACCCCTATCTCTTCGTATAGACGTCAATCAGGTTGACTGACAAATTCAGTTTTCTTGGGACTCTTCGTGTTACGAATGGAAAAGTAAACTGAATTATATATCCTTTATCCACCTAGCCCTGGCAACAGAACGAGTCGGTCAAAAAGGGCGTTGTAATTTTCCGGGTATGTCAACGAATCTAGGAATATCTTCCAAAGGATCGTTTGCCAAGATAGCTTTTTGTACAAGTTCGCAGCGCATCTTAGGACCTCGGGACGTAGTTGTGGATTGAGCAGCGGAAGAGCGCGTTTTACCTCTTGTGTCGTCAAGTCATTTAATTACGTCATGCTTTCACATCTATCGCACCATCGTCAATGTCTTTGGACAAAATGAACAGTCGTTGTATCATCTTCATCAGTTAATCTGCCATCTTGCGCATTCGCCCCGCTTCATTCGCTTCAAATTCGCTTTTTTCCATAGCAATCTTCTCCCACAACAACTCCTGCTGGGTATTATCGTTTAGTTTCGAGTATCAGGACTCTACCACAGTGCTCAGACAGCGGTTCCCTTCTTCTCAGTTTCGGCGACGACCTCATGGTTATCCTCATCTGCAACCGCGCCGTGGCGAGAGACCTTAAGATTGCCGGCGGCGATCTCTCGCTCGATGTCGTCAAGACGAGATTTCTTCTGATGGGTCTTCCAGGCTGGAAGACCAGAGTTGAAAACATCGTCCATCTCCTCAAGTGTGAAGCCCTTGGTTTCGGGCGCGAAAAATGCGGTGTGAAGGAATGCCAGGGCATTGAATGTCGCAAAGATATAATACATCTTGTAGTTGATGTTCCATACTGTTGAATGTCTGTTAGTCCTTACTTATAAGGGGGGTGCCATGCGGTTCGACTTACACAGAGGGGGAACGGCAAAAGCAAGAATCATGTTCCAGAACCAGTTGGTCGAAGTGGACAAAGAGACGGCCTTGGCGCGAATCTTACTCGGGAAGATCTCGGCAGGGTAAGTCCATGACACAGGACCCCATGTGGTGGCAAAGGTTGCGACAAAGAGGTACGAGCAGGAGACGATAGCAGAGGAGACTGGCCTCTGGTTGAGGACGAGCCAGGTAACAGACTCATTGTCGGGGTTGCGTGTCTCATCGGTGTTGGGCTGTCCATAGTACTGTTGAAGTGCGCCAGAAATGAACAACCAGGTCATCATCATAAAAGAGCCGCCGACGAGCAAGGGACGACGGCCGAGCTTGTCGATAAAGACGATGGCAGGAAGAGTCATGACGACGTTGATGATATACTGAATAGATGCAGTAAGTAGCGGGTTGCCTATGCCGGCACCCTGCATGATGTAGACAATGTAGTCTGGATCAAATCAGCAACTTGTCGTCCACACTTGCAATTGGAAGGTCGTTGCTTACACATCATGATGTTCATTCCGCACAACTGGGACCACATCTGGATACTCATGCCGAGCAACACACGCTTGTACATGCGGGGAGCGACGAGACCTTTGAAGCTAGAAATGTTCTCTTCTCGCTCGAATCGAAGGGCCTCCTCGATTTCTTGGTACTGTGCCAGGACTTTGGGGTGGTTGACGTCGCCGCTGCCGTGAAGATGAGCGAGGACCTTAATGGCTTCATCCCAACGGTCCTTGCTAGCAAGCCAACGAGGACTGTAAGGAAAGAAGAATAATCCAACAAAGAGGACAGCGGCAGGGACAATCTGGACGCCCCAAGGAATGCGGAAAGCGGCGGTCGGCTGGTCGGGATCAGTGGAGCCTTTTCCAATGCCCTCGGCGGCGCCGTACTGAATGAAGTATTGAATCAAGATACCCCAGGTAATTGCCCACTGCTGGAGCGAAACAACGCGACCACGGATCTCCTTGGGGGCGATTTCGGACTGGTAGACGGGCACAATGGAGGATGCGATACCGACACACATGCCCGCGATGACACGGCCGACACAAAGCATGCCGACATTGACGGAAGCGCATTGAAGGATGGCACCGATGGTCCACAGAATACAGGAGAATTGGAGAGCGACCTTGCGAGAGTACTTGTCGGCAATGAAGGAAGAGACGAGAGATCCGACGAGGGAGCCGGCAGGCATGGAAGCCGTAATACCACCCTGGCGGTATGATGTAGGATTCCTAAAGTATCTCTTGTAGGCTCCAGTCCCTAGAACACCGCTCATGGAACTGATATCAAAGCCGAATAGGCCACCGCCTGAGCTTTCGTCAGTATGATCTTCAAGGTGTAAGGCCAGGCGAGAACTCAAGGCAGAATCACGTACCAATGGCGGCGAAACCGCAAATGAAGTAGATGTTTTGCGCCTGATACATGATGGCGGTGTTCGCACGAAGGCGACTATTTCTGTAGTTGTGTTCAGTTACAATGAGGTGAGTCGTCTGTCTAGGTGGGACGAGGTGAAGTTGGAATGTCGTATGTATGCGTCAGCGGAGTAGGTCTCTCGTGGCTCGTGAATTGGCTTGCAGGTGGGCGCGACCGAAACTTAAAGTAAACGGGGAGGCTCGGTGGTTGTTTGCCTGCGGTACATCTGGACGCGGTTCGGGGGCGGCCGCGGTTGCCTCGTGTGTATGGTATCCGAATCGTAGGATGGGTAACGACACTGGTCACCGTCGTACCGAGTTGCTGTGTCGAATGACATTAGGCTACCAGTTGAGTTGATCATAGGGGGACCCTGTCTGGGGAGACAGGACGGACCGAATGCAAACGTTGGCACATAGGGTTGACAAGGTTGATGTGGAGGACTGCCCATCCCATGGAACACGATGGGGTCATGGGTAGAAGCAGGCGCGGAGGAGCATTGAAGGGTACGGACGATCAGTTCCTCGAAGGGCGATAGGGCCATTGTGTGACAGGTAGGACAAGTGGGCGAGCATGGCGAAGGCACAGGTGTCTGGGCCGTTGCCAGGTCGTTGGTTGAGATGGTGAGGCCGAGGAGTGACTGACTGGGTAGGAATCGCATGCCTGCATAAAGTACTCCGTACCTTAGTTGGGGAGCTCAAGAAAAGGTGACCAAATGAGGCACATTGGAGTATGGAAAATCAGGAGCTCCCAGGGTACCATTGATCATCCAGAGTGCGTGAGCAGATGTGTGGTGTGTGGGAGACAAAATGCGGAGAAGAGGAGAGTTAACTCAGGATGGGAGGAATCGGCAGCTGTGAGTGGCTGGCGAGATTGGATGATTGGCGATGTTACCAGGCGAGCAGCGTGGGAGGCTCAGACGAGAAAGCTGGGCGAGATCCCGAATGCCACATGGGCGGTAGAGGTGTCGTTGCGTTGCACGTCTCATGCTGTGCTCGTGTCGGTGGTGACACTGGTGTGTCCAAGTTCCAAGTACCATATTGCTACAGCCAGGTATATTGCTGCAGAATTGTGCAGACCAGGAACTTGGTGTACAGTCGAGCTGTTCATCTGTCTGTCTGCTGGTCTGCCTTGCCTGGCTACTCGTCTCTATTGCCTGAGCTCTCTCTTACGCAGTCGACTATCATAACTGAGAACCTTGGTGATGTGGGCCGTGGACATGGATGGACATGTCACATCTGGGCTGTTGTCGGGTTTCCTGACACTGGTGCCATACTGTCAGTTTTTTAGTCATGAATTCATAGCAACCGAGAACTGTACAAAAATGGACCGACACATGGAAGCAGGCTAAACTTGGTCAATGATACCTTAAGTGAGGTACGCAAGGCAGGAGATATCCGTACGGTAAGGTACCTGGAGCAGGTCATCAATTTCAATACGTACCGCAGGTACCTAGTCCAGTGTCAAACGGATGGGAAGGAGAAACACATGGTTCATTCGCCCTTTCCCTTCCTTATCGCCCGTATGTCTTTTCCGTCCGGACCCCTGCCCGCTGTCTGCCCCGGGCGGGTCAAGAACGGTGGACCACCTCCCGACGTTCCTCCTCCCAATTGACGGACCAATCTAAGCGGCCCATCTCCCCCGCACCCGACTTGGATGATGATGGAAATAAAGACCAAACACGCAACTCTAATGCTGGCCAGTCATATCACGGCAAGGGCGAAACGACTGCCTTACCTACCGAAGGTAAATACCTACAGTGGACACCTGGTAAGGTATCCTTAACTTGATACCGAACATGTAGGAAAAGGCTGGACAAAAGTTGGGCGCTATCCCTGGTAGGTAAGGCAGGCGGATTTGCAGCATGCCAAGGCGATTTGATCCAGATGTCGTCACTCAGCGCCAGGGTGGTTGATGTCTTGGTGCCTTTTCGGCTGCTGCTCCGACGAAGGCAGGCTTGGGGCAAACTTGGCGATACAGAGTCGCCTCGGCCATCTGACGAAAGTTGCCTACCTTACCCGCACGTGTGCATCTGGCAAGTACCTAGATGCCGGACGGTGAACAAAGAGTCCGAATTCGTGCCACAAAATCTGACGTCTAGGTGTTGTCAACTATCCGTACGCTGCTGGACCTTTCCCAAGGGACACATGAAAAAGAGCCGGGAAGGGAAGTACCCTGCTAAGTGAACCTAAGTATGGAGAACAGACGGAGAACCGGCGGAAAATTCGTAAAAGCCCGCATGGGAAGCTTTCTATTGTTCCAGCTGCAGAGGAGATGAGGTATCCATACCCAAGGTACCTAAGCTCATGTGGTTTCTACCACTCCACGTTACAAATAACAAACTCACCGAAAGTTCAGAGTCTTGGCTGTCGGAAAAGTTTTTGCAGTTTTTGATCATCACGGGACAATGCGACACGAAAGCGAAGTCGAGGCAGGCACAGCAGTAGAGCTCTCTCCAATTACCCGACAGCTCTTTCCCCCGTCGACCCCAATTCCTTCCCTCGCCCCACACCCCCAACATGGGAAGGATCCATCCTGGCTCCTTCTTCCCCGGCCTCACCTCACACCTCCCTCGAGGCAGCTACGGGTAGCACCACAACCTCCTCACCCCATTGATCCTTCCTCCCAAAGGTTGAGAAACCTGTAATGCAATTGGTTGAGAGAAGGCACGAACGGCCAATTCTTTCTTTCCAACAATATGAACTTATGCCGGTAGGGTGACTTCGACACCACCTTATTTGTCCCCTTCGTCAAGCTACCCGCATCATCTGACCTACAGACTCCAGTGCGCCAATCCGACTCCCGTCTCAGACCGGGCCAGATTTCCGTCCAACAGCCCGTTACCAGCACCTCCAACCAGATGACTTTGCCAGCATCTCCAGTGAGCAATGCCGTCTAGTTGCTTCCGCCATTTCTGGTCTTGTGCCTCGACTACTGCACAGGTTACCTCGTCGGAACGCCACGCCTCTGTCTCGCCACGATCATTTCGAATCCTTTCTCTTTCGGCCCTCTGTCCCCAGCAACTATCTCGCGGTTTCCTCGTCCGACCATTCGCAATCATCATAGTTTCAACAAGCACTCTAGCCTCTAGAGTCCCGCCGATGATACAGCGACGTGCCCTTCCAGCACATATGCGGACCTCGCCATATGACGGCCTCCTGACCACTCCTTTGCCGACCTGACAAGGCTTCGGTGTGCTCAAGCAACTTTGGCTCCTCTCATTTTCGACTTCAAGCTTATTAGCAAGCCGTCTGCTTGCGGGGGAATGGCTCCCGAGCTGCGGGCTTTCAAGCTTGGTCCCGTCCTTGTTTTGCGGGCCAGTTCTCGGACCACTTCTCCGACACGAGCAACCCAATGTGCCAACCGGTCAACGTTCTCCGCCAAGACGACCAGTAATTACAGTACATACGCCAAAGTCGATTCCTCCCTCTTCCAGAACCCGTGTCTATTCATCGCCGGCCCTGATGATGGTGCAGAGACTGACCAAGGCACACGCAATCTTGAAGCCTCGTCCCATGCCACGGTAAATTTGAGCGTCTGTCAGTTAAAATATGACAAGACTAAATCATCCAACCTCGCTTTCTCGCAGTCTTACCAGAGGTCCATCTACCAAGGTTGTCTCTTTGGCGACATTACCTAAGGCATCTCCACCAATTTGACATCTTGGCCACTGCTTAGCGCCTACTTGACCCGGCCACCACTCCGCGAGGCCCTGAAAAGACACTGGGGCCCTTGCCCGCTGCTGCGATGCGTGTGCCTTGAATGGATCGCTTCTCATCAGTCGCACGTTCATCACCCCTCGGCCTTGCACCTAATATTTCAGAAATTTCACATTTACCTGCCCTTGTATCTTGGCACGTTCAAAGCTACGGAAGGGTTTTTCTTCTTGTTCCGGCGGCAACACGTCCTCGACATTAGGTACCAAGAGGTTACGGCATTTCATAATCCCTTTCCATTTGGGGGCTCCGAATTGATGATTCGCCTAGCGCATCTAGGTATTACACCGCAGACTCCCCGAAGAAGGGCCCCGTCTACCACCGTCCTACCGGTCATTCGCTGCTCCTTCTACGGAGATCGGCACGCCCAACTGCTGCATCTAACTCTGTACGCCCTCCAGACAAGATACCGGACGAGCAAATCCTCCAATGGTCCCCCGCAACTCCTCGACAGCAAGACGAGACTGCAACGTTACCCCGATGCGGAGTTTCATATCGACCGAACTGACTGATCCCCTTTTGCTGCTTTGGTCGGCAATTTGTGGCCGACGTGCTGGACATCAGCCCGTATCCTGTGATTGTATTCGAATCCCGGACGAACTACATACGGACCGAAAAGCTTCGATCAAACGTAGATGGTGCACACCTTGCTTGGCTCTGCCAGAAGGTCGGAAATCCCAAGCATCGGGTAGCTTGACCCTGGCCCCAGAGTCGCATGGGCTTTCCAGCCATCCGTTCTTTCACCTGGGAACGCACCCTCGGTTCCCAACCCGGGCTGCAGAAGCAGCAGCACCTTGTCCAAGCCCACTGCCTATGGGCTCAGAAGCTGCATCGCTAACAAGATTTCGATGGAACAAGAGACCCTACAGCGTCATCTAACAAGGCTCCTTCGCTACAAGTGATATACCTTTCCTTTGCATGCTTATTTGACCCCTTGGCGTTCGTTACTGTGGTGGTCCTCTTCCATATTCTTACAAGTTCTTCCACTACCCGCGAAAACTTGCCCTCCGGAAACAGCAAGGTCATAATGTTGAACTAGACAGCATGCGGTGATATCAATGAAGTGACCCCAATACTGGTGAGACGCCAAACGCAAACAAGGGCGTGTTCAAGTATGGGTGCTTCAATGAGTAAATGCCTGTAAACTATAGAAGGCATGGACTTCAATTACAAGGCTGCAAGGGCATTGACTCTCTGGCTATGTGAGATGCTTCGACGGTTGAGGAAGTCTCTCCAGGACCTACCCCGTCCATTGGGCTAAAACCTTGGGCGTGCCAGTGGCATCAGAGATTGCGCGAGACATTTGGCTCTGATATCACTTCTTCCTCTCCACACCCATGCGCAAAGGCACAGAAAATGCAGTGAGAAAAGAGGCCAACAAACTCCAAAGAGCGTCGGCCAGAGTTGCTTGTTGTTTGTCTGCTTGCGAGTCCTCGTGCCAGATTCTCGTAAGAAGATCTGCCTCATCGCTCACACCCCCACCTGTGCAAGCCCCCGCGAGGAAGCTTGCCAGGAGGTCCTACCATCTGTGAAATCGTCAGCAAGTCGCCGGGCCACGCAGGCCCAGCGTAGTAGTGCCAAGTGAGCAGAGGCTTCCCGCTTCCCGCTTCCCAGGAGGAACGGTAGCGCTGCCAAGTAGAAGTAGTAGAAAAAGTCCTTGTTCATTGTTGAGCCCACTAGGGCTGGGCCCAAATGCTTCGTTGGGTAGCTGGCCAGCAGGGAAAGGGGTAAGAACACGCCACCAGGACGTGTTTGCGCAGAAAAGGACCGGTCCTGTGACAGTCGATCCTCGTCGACACCCCCTCGTCGCAGCCAACCAGCTGCCGTT